AATAGAGTATGTCCTCCGGCAGTGTGCTGATACGATCATCCTTAGAAATCAAATACTAAAATACCAAGAAAAAAAAAAAAAATAAATCGTAAGACATGTCAGAACGATGCTGATGATTATAATAATAAACTCCTCATTGAATTTCCCATCATGTATGATTTTAAAAGCAATGTCAAAACTTCGCTAGTTAAAAATATATATATAAACTTAATTAATTTATCCACCATCATGTTAGAAAATTTAAATAACCATTCAAATCATAAGATTATTTTTTGAGCCTTTGCAAAATTCATGTGATTTCCAAAATATAGTAGTGTGTACAAGATTGGGAACCGTAATATTGAATTAGCTAATGATATCCATGGCAGAACACTGTGGAACATTAATGATGTGTGCTCAATACAAGTATATTTGAAATTAAATTGAATTAGCTAATGATATCCATGGCAGAACACTGTGGAAAATTAATGATGTGTGTGTGTGTGTGTGTGTGTATATATATATATATATATATAAATTACATTTGTGATGCACTTACACATAATAAAAAAAATAATTGTATAATATACACATAATTAGATAACCTAATATAAAGTTAGTGACTTCTAATAATGTATCAGGAATAACATACTGGGAAGAATTGTATAATTTAATTTATGCAAAATCTTTTAGTTAGTAGAATGATGAATTTGACTTGAGCTAACTATAATTTGATGTGTGATAGTCAGAGGAGGAGAAAATAGGGAGGAGAGAGGAAAGAAATTGTTATAAGTATAAGGTTAGAGAAGTTATTTCAGAATTTAAATTAGTCAATATAAAAATTAAAGGGTAAAAATGTTAATTTATTACTATTAAGGTGTATTTGGTAAATGTATCAAATTTTAGGGGTGTCATTGTTCCAAAATAAATAATCCAAAATAAATAAACTTTTGTCTGAATGTTCTTTAAGCAAATCTAAGAGTGTTACCGTACTTTATCCTAAATAGAACAAGAGGGTAAGGATCCGTAGTTGTCACACCCCGACAGTTCCAATAAAATCCTCCATTTATTCATATACAAATACATCAAAATACACACATGATCATAAAAATTACCCCCTCTTTTATACAAAATTAATTTCCTCAAATACACAAAAAATCTCCAAATAAAAAAAAATAAATCCTGTAACGCCAACTCTTCATCCTAAGCCCGTTTCTACGATTCCCGTCCATCTTCGGTACCTGAAACTGGCAACTCTTCATCCTAAGCCCGTTTCTACGATTCCCGTCCATCTTCGGTACCTGAAACTGGAGGGTGATGAGACAAAAAGTCCCAGTAGGAAAAACCATAACAAGAATTCCATGGAGGTTTAATAAAACAGCTTCACAACATAAACATATACATTTAATACATATGCATTTAATTAAAAATATTTAATAAAAATATTAAAGTAAAACCTCCCCATGCCATTCAAGGTATAGAGAACTCTACACTGAAAAATCATCAAGCCTCAAAACTCCGGCCTGCTGTGAAATCTTGGCTCCTCTGCAGACCCTCGAACCTCTCTGTTTCTCAAAACTCTCTAATTTATTTATTTCTTTGCTCTCCTACAAAGTCCCAAATACTTGATATATAGACAAGGCAACCCACTATCCTTACACAATATCAGCCAACAAGCGCACGTGAATCCCACTGCTACACTCCATCAGAACCCACGTGAAGCCCATATTTTTGGCCAAACAAAAATCAATTCACACATCACAAGTTCTCTCTCTTACTTTTGGCTGACACCTTTTTCCTTCCCCCATCATTTCAATCTTCACTTTCCAAACATACCACCTAACGACTACATCAGCCCAACAAAAACCAAGACGACATGAACAATTCAAAGCCAAGCAAAATTCGCCAAACAAATCCTAGTGAACCCACATCAAATCATCAGCATTTCCTTCATTTCTTTCTTCTTTAATTTCGCCACCCAACCCATCATCTCTATCTCGGCTGCACCCTTTTTCCATCCACAGATGCAATAAACTATATATATATATATATATATATATATATAAAATATGCAACAAACTAACCAATTCTTTAAATATCAAGTGGGCCGGCCAATACACTGCCCTTTCTCATTTCGCAGACCACAATTCCTCCAGATGCACAAAATACATATATATATATATATATATATATATATAATCTATATGTATAAACATGTGACAAAAATCTAAGCCATTAAAACACTTTCACAACATTCAAGTGGGACCCGCGCCAAAGCCATTTCCTTTATCCCATTTCGTTGCTCCACTTCTTATCCCATACTATATATATATATATATATATATATATATATATATATCAAACAAACTAAACAAAACTTATTAAAGAAAATCATGGGACTCCATCAGTTTACACACACACACACATATATATATATAAACTATATAAAAAAACTACAATTACACCTTCATTGAAACAGTGTAACGAACTTAAAATTATAATAATAATAATAATAGAAATAAAATTATAAATTAAAATATAAGAAAATTCGGGTCATCACAGTAGTAGTTTGAAGACCCGTCTGCCGGCCCATCTGTTTTTTTTTTTTTTTTCAAGATAGGGTGGGCTAGTCTCATGATATAGTGCCAAAGAGGCCCCAGATGCAGGCTAGTGTGGTGGGGCTTTTCCAAAAAAATTAATAATAATAATAATTTAATATTGTGAGATAATAAAATAATTATAATAAAATTTAAATTAAATTTTGGTAAACAAACTTAAATAAAATTACTCTAAAATTATTTTAAAAAAAAATAAAAAAATAATTATCAATTTCAAAACTTAATTACTAATAAGTCACCACATGATAATTTATTAGGTAAATATCTTTCTTATAATATTTTATTTTTTAATTAAAAAATTTACCTTACTTATTAAACCCAATTAAACACTTATTTTACCATGTCTGGTGAGGCAGTAGTTGTTCTGACTGGGGCTTTTTGAGTTTTTTTTTTCCCTTTTTTTTTTTTTTTTTTTTTTTTTTACCTCATGTCCAAATCAAAAGGTTTTTTCTCTTCCTCTTGTTAGCACACAAAATGTGTTCTTTTTTTTTTTTTTTTAACCAACAAACATTGCAAACCACAGGAAAGATCATCAATGGAGTTTCTGAGTGCTCAAGGAATGAATACACATTAAAAGCATATCCGAATGATAATAGATTGGCCACCTCATGCCCCCAATGAATTCCCTTCACGACCAATGATCTAATACTCTTAGTTATGGACTATGATATGTTTTCGGATCATGGTGAAGGGGCTATGGAAAAAATATAACGTTGACAAAGAAACCCTAATTTTAAGAGATAATGAAACTCAAATTTTTTAATTGGTAAGCTACAAATAAAATAAAATAAGTAGAAGGATGAGGATGATGAATCTAATGGGAATTTTGTAATCTAAAAATTATTTTTAAAATATTTAATAAATAAGGAAATATTTTTGACCAAATTACCCTTAATAGGTCATTGTTTAAAGGGAGACTTGTCCCCGATTCTGATAGAAAGTGAAATAGATCTATATAAATCGGGTGTTAAGTGTTAACCTAATTTTAAACTGCTCTTTATTTGGATAGATGAAAATAGTAACCAAAAAAAGAAAAGTATTGAAAAATTTAGAAGTTACCATAGTAGGAAATAACCATTGAACTTCTTCGGAAAATTTTGGTACAAAAAGCACAAGAATTTTTTTCATTTATTAAGAATGTTTTATGAAAATAACTTTCATGCTATAAAATAGTAATTTTTTCAAAATTTTCTTTAAAAAGTTTAATGCTAATCAAATAAACTATGAAAATTTTATTTTTCTTTTATTTATTTCACTTTCTTTCACTTTACACTATCATGAGAAAAATTACATTGCAAAAGAAAACATTTCTTCTTGTTTGGTTAGCACAAAAAATGTAAAGGAGGAGGAAATATGAGGAAAATTAGAGAAACATGTCATTTTTCCTTTTAATATTTTTTGTCCTTCACATTCCATATTCCATTCTCCAAGTATGAGAAAATACGAGGAAAAGTATTTTTCCTTTTCTTTTCCATTTCCTTTGATTTTTCCTTCACATTTATTCAACCCTCTCTGAGTACAAGAAAATACGAGGGAAATCATCATTTTGCCTTTTCATTTTCTTAATTCTATTTCATTTCCCTCACTATATCTGCAAATAGAACACAACAAATTAACAGAGTTAAAACTTAAAAGAAAACGAGAAGGGAACCTAATTGGAGTGAACCCTGACAAACTATATATATACTTGGAAAACTTTAAGTCAATTAATGTAATACCATTGAAACATAAATTCTTGTAATAGTTGTTTGAAGAGTCCCTGACTCAACCTTGGGAGGTACTTTTTTTTAGTGCATCCATTCCATGGTAATGTCACATTGTTAAAAATGCTACTAAAAGGCAATAAAAGATGACAAAGCTACAAGTAAAGGGAAAACAAATGGCATTCTTGGTTCAGCTCTCAAAAACTCGAAAAACCGTTCTCAGATAACTGAAATAAAAAAAACTCTAAATCTAATCCAAATCATAAGAGACCATTTGAATTAGATAGTTCAAAACAACGTTTATTAGGAAAATCGAAATAATAATTCTAATAAATTTAATAAATGACTTTGTAATTACTAGTTATCATGGTGATTTGGCTGCTCATCGTGCATGCTACGAAACGGTCTGTTCAAATGAAATGGGAACAAAATTTAATTTAGAATGCATAGTCATTAGGTTTTACAAAATCATATGACAAAGTGCAAGCAAACATCTAAATTCTAATTAACTAACTAAACAATCAATTTACTAAAACAGAGAAGTTTCTGGGAAGTTCAATGTCCATCAAATTACTCATTAGCTCAAAATTCTAATAGCTCACTTGAAGTTTATTTGGACTAAACGAAGCCTAATTGATATTTGCAACACTAAGTGTTAAATAAGTACCAAAAGAGAAGGGAGAAAAGGAAGAAAGACCATAAAAAATAATGTATAAAAAGACATTCAATCCGACGTCAATGAAGAATCCAATATATAAAAGCAATGGAGAGACTGAATTAACACAATGCATCTCTACACCATCTTATTCTATCTCACTCAGCGGTGAATTGTTTGGATTCTTCAAAGGAAAGAGAGGTCTAAGGCAAGGGGATCCACTATCTCCCTTGCTTTTTGTCCTTGCCATGGAAGTACTTTCTCTCTCAATCAAGAGCTCTATCAGTGCTTCAAACAGTTTCAGGTTCCACAGGAGATGCAGCAAATTAGACATTACACATTTGGCTTTTGCTGATGACATTCTACTGTTCTCTTATGGAAATCTCCCTTCTGTCCTAGTACTTTTTGGTGCTCCTAACAATTCCTTCACTTATTCTGGGCTTTCAATTAACCAAGGCAACCATACTTGCCCTCCATCAAATTAATGCTGGACATTACCTATTACTTACCTTCGATTACCTCTCTCTTCCTCCACCATTTGTGCTAGAGACAGTCAAACTCTAGTGGAGAAGATTACTTCAAACATTAGTAGATGGACTTATAGGTTCCTCTCATATGCTGGCGGGACAGTGTTGATTAAGGCCATTTTTTACTCTATGAAAGCTTATTGGTCCCATACCTTTGTGTTACCTAAGAAAGTGTTTGAGCAAATTAATCAAATTCTCATGAGGTTCTACTGGTCAGGGATAGAATTGAACAAGTCAGGTGCCAAGGTGGCCTGGATTTCTATTTGCAGGCCAAGGTCGTACTGTGGGCTAGGGTTTCCATGTTTGGAAATGTCTAATCTTGTTGCTAATCTTAGGTATTTGTGGAAGCTTTGCATCAGAAAGGAAAGTTAATGGGTGGCATGGACATTCAGATACCTCATCAAAGCAAGGAGCATTTGGACAGCCAGATCCTCCACTCTCAGTTCTGGATTTTGGAAGAAGTTACTTAAATTAAGATGCATGGTAAGAGGGTTGATTAGACACAAGATTGGCTCAGGCAAGGATACGAAGATGTGGTTAGATTTCTGGCTACCTAATGGTCCTATTGTCACACAACTTGGTCTCACTGAGTTGGAAATTCTTCAAGTGGACAATATTCATGCCACAGTTGATAGCCTAATTTCCCACAATCCAATACCTGCAGTTCTTTCAATCCCAGTTGTTCATGAATCAACTCAACATCATCCATGCTTCACAGAGTGAGCCAGACTTGATTGAATGGAAACTTAGTCCAAACAAAACTCTCTCTCTCTCATACATTGAGGGCCTTCACTCCCCCTTCAATAACATTTGTATGGCATAAAATTGTTTGGTTTAAGAACTATATTCCCAAGCATGGCCACATTGCTTGGTTAGCTGCCAGAAGCAGGCTTTACACTTTGGATTCCAAGCCAATGCTAATCAAACACTACACAAATGCTTGTTACTTGTGCCTCGTGGAAAGTGATTCGTCTTTGGATCACCTCTTCTTCAAATGAAAATTCAGTAACTACATTTGGAGATTCATACAGCATGTTGCTGGATTCTTTATACTCTCTAATTGCTGGAAAGACCTCATTGAATGGTGTTCATCTAATTGGGGTTCAAAGGAATTTCTGCTTCACAAACTTCTTTTTTCTGCTGCTATCTACTTCATCTAGCAGGAAAGAAATGCCAGAGCATTTAGAAATAATAAATCTATTGATGCAAGGCATACTCTATGCCTTATCAAAGGCAATGTAAGAGGAAGAATTTCCTCCTTGAAGTTGAAGAGAAGTACTGATCTGAAAGATATGGGATGCATGGAGGACCTTGATCATCTTTTCATTCAAGGTTGTGCCTTTGCAGGGTGCCAATCTTGGGCTTTATCTGATTGATTCTCTGCTGTGTGTGTTTTGATATCATAATAATCTTAATGTTGTTGTTCCTTGATGAGTAGTGAATGTTGTGGCACATGCAATGTGCATTGTTGATGAGGATGGAAATGCTGAAGATTTGAAGAAGCTGATCTGTGGTTGCTATGGAAGGAATAAAGATCCTTTATTTTGCTCCCTGCTGTCTTTTGCTTCAGTTTTACACTGATTTGTTATGTGTTTAGTCCTTATAGGACCTCTTGTATATTCCTATTTTTCCTTATTTAATTGATTCAAAGCTTACCCATTCAACTAAACAAAAAAAAAAGAAAAGAAGCATAAAACCCATTCAATCCTCTTCAACAAAAATATGCTATCCCCCTTCAATCACAGTCAATCGAAATATGCTCTCCACCTGTTTCGTACAAAAGTATGGAGCACATTATTCGCATAAATTTACCATCCTCAATTTTTACTTTCTAGATCATAATAAAATAGTTTTGGTGTCCCAAATTCAAATTTATTAGGTGCAAATAGCAAGAGTAAAATCTCACCTGTATGTATGGTTCCTATTGGTATCTTCCTCGTCACATCATCATCTATTAGTGGCTTCCTCTCATGCATCATTACGAGGCTTTGTTTGTTCCAATGCTCCAATTCCATGCTGCCGAACACATCCTAAGAGTAAAATAAAACAGGCCGAACAGAAAATGAACTGCAAACAGAAAAACAAAGCATCACTTTCAGAGAATCGTTAGGATGTTCAAGGAATAAATGAATTAGAGGTTAAATCCAGTAATAGAGCATGATATAGCAGAATTTACTTAAATGCCGTTAATATAATGAAAGCAGGCATTACCCGATATCTTACTTGCCCGTGCAGCTGAGTGGAGGGAAAAACTAGACTTAACTTTTAGCAATTTTTTTTTGTGACCACTGATTTAATACATATTACCACTGCAAAATAATGTCACAAAAAGATTCCTGCTAACCAGCAGTGTGAAACTCAGAAAAACAAACTGGTTATTCATAATAATGCAACTCTATCATGTCATGATTATTGGTCACAAAACTCTCCTCGAAACTTTTGTTTCACTACGAATACAAGAATTATATCCCCCTAAATAGATCCAGATGCAAAGGCTCAAAAAATCCAGATGGTTGGGAGAATGCCATTAAAGGATGCCCACACTCTTATCATACCTTTCTAGTGGATAGATGCAGGTGACGCCTATGCAATGGGGCTGAGCTAAAGCCCCTGAAACAGGCACCACACAACATCTATTTGAGAAAATGACAGCTTTGTAAATGTGCTATGCAGTGAAAGTGAAAGCACACAACAAGAACAAAATTACAGTTCATATAAGTGAATACAAAATAAAGAACCAGTAAATAAATAAATAAAAATAAAAAAAGATTAGGAGGAAACAAATTGAATTGTCCAGACATCATTGTAGAAGAACAAGAAAATGATGCTTAAATTGCACAAATTGAAATAAATCAATCTTAGAGCATAAAAAGCAAACGTCTACAAAATGCCTTGGTTACTTTAAGGGAAAAAAAAACCCGCTTAGGACTAATGGATGCTAGGGGAACTTCTCCTGAGCTATATTTTATAATGCCACTGTCGCTACTCCATACAACTTCCATATAAGCTCCCAATAACTATTTGTCATGCACTTGTTGTAATACATGATAGTGAAGCTGTTCTTAAATTCCCCAACTAATGCAACCATTCATGTTCTTAAATTAAAAGGAAACCCTTGAAATTGTATATTGCCTTGACGTGCTTCAACGACTTCAGGAATCACATTCTGGTACTTGCTCACAAACTTCCCCACGAACAACTTTTCAGTCATTTTGAGTGTATAATTAAGCTCAGGTCTTCGTTGATCAGATTTTTTGACATCAGAAGTTGCAGAACTGCACACCTTGGAACAATCCCCTTCTCCAAGCTAAGAAGCAAAAGACCTGGATGCTTGGAAATTACTTTGGGATTCAATTTCTGTTGGGTTTATTTCCTTCTATATGGAGGAAAGCCCAAAGCCCAGCTCTTTAGGGTGAATAACCTTAAGGAAGTCAGAATAAAAAGAGAGGAAGATCAGCCGTAACTTTCACAACAAAAGAGAGAAGAAAAATGTTTGGTTTTTTCTATTCTGCCCAGATTTCATCAAACGTCCGATCCAGCTTCGTTTGTGGTCCGATCGAGCTGAAATGTGGAGGAGAGGTTCACGACTCAATGAGTTAAAATCTGAACGGTGGAGATTGGATTTTGAGCTCGGGAATAGTGATTCGTGCCCGTGAACATAACCGGGTTTTGGTATTTTTCTCTCCAATTCTCTTTGTTTTTTGCCAAGATTTGTGATATCTTGATGAGATGTATTGTAGCCTCTAATTACGATTAGAGAAGATTTTGTGTACCCATTATTTGGTTGATAGTGGAGATTTTAACTGGACTAGGTCTCGTGGTTTTTGTTCCTCACAATGGGCAAATTTTCCACGTAAAAAATTGCTTGTGTTCTTATGGTTTGGTGTGATTGATTTTCTTTTCTATTATTTTCAGTACATATAAAATTAGAGATACACTATATTTGCTTGCATATAGGGAGAAGAGTTATTCCATTGTATTTGTTTATTGTTATCTCTCCTAACAAAGTGGTATCAGAGCTTCAGGTTGACAAATTGTCAGGTTGGCAGTTTGAGTTATGGAAGCAAATATGAGTAGAATGATTAATCTCAATGGTTTAAATTATCACATATGGAAAGGAAAAATGGAGGATCTTCTTTATGTGAAAGATTATTATCTACCGGTGTTTAGTGCTGAAAAACCAGAAAACAAGTTTGATGTGGAATGGACTTTGTTACATCGACAGGTGTGTGAGTATATGAGGCAGTGGGTAGATGATAATGTTTTGAACAATATTAGTGGAGAGACGAATGCACGTTCTCTATGGAGTAAGCTTAAACAGCTATATGCTAGAAAGATTGAAAATAATAAATTGTTTCTGATTAAGCAGATGATGGCATTGAGATACCAGGACGAGACTCCTTTATTTGATCACCTGAATACATTCCAAGGAATTATTAATCAGCTGGCTGGCATCGGTATTAAGTTTGATGATGAGATACAAGGGTTGTGGTTGCTTGGTTCATTACCAGACTCGTGGGAGACGCTTAGAACTTTATTGTCTAACTTCGCTCCAGAAGGTGTAATCACAATGGAAATGGCCAAGAGTTGTTTGCTAAATGAAAAGATGAGAAGAAAAACACAGGGATCCTCTTCACAGTCAGAGATCTTGGTTACAGAAAAGAAGGGGAGAAGTAAGAACAGAGGTCCGAAGAACAGAAATAATGATCTTGGTTACAGAAAAGAAGGGGAGAAGTAAGAACAGAGGTCCGAAGAACAGAAATAACAACAGAAGCAAGTCCAACAAGTTTGCGAATGTTGAGTGTTATCATTACTGGAAAAAAGGGACACATTAAGAAATATTGCAGGCAATTGAAGAAAGAAAACAAGAATTAGAAAGGGAAGGGAACTAAGAATGGTAATGACAAAGATGGTGATGACAGAGTTGCTACCACCATTCCTGCAGACTTCCTCATTGTTTATGATGATGAGACGATAAATGTTGCATACCATGAGACCAGTTGGGTAATTGACAGTGGTGCTTCTATTCATGCTACATCTCGAAAGGATTTCTTTACATCTTATAAATCTGGTGATTTTGGAACAGTAAAGATGGGCAACGATGGCTTGGTTAAAGCCATTGGAATTGGGGATGTGTATTTGAAGATGAATAATGGCACGAGGTTAGTTCTCAGAGATGTGAAGCATGTTCCTGACATTCGTTTAAATTTGATTTCTGCAGGTAAACTTGATGATGAAGGGTATTGCAGCACTTTCAGTGATGGCCAGTGTAAGCTCACTAGGGGTGCTATGGTTGTGGCTCGAGGCATGAAGCACTCTGCACTATACGTTCTGCAAGCAAAGATCTCCAACGACATTGTTAATGCGATGGAGGATAATGATACAACAGAATTGTGGCACAAAAGACTGGCTCACATGAGTGAGAAAGAATTAGCTCTACTAGGGAAGAAAAGTCTACAATGTGGACTGAAACGTACACTTCTTAAAAGGTGTACTCATTGTTTGTCAGGGAAGCAGAGTAGAGTCTCTTTCAAGAATTCCCCTCATTCGAGAAAGTCAGAGATATTGGATTTGGTACATTCAGATGTGTGTGGCCCTATAAAGACGAGAACACTTGGTGGCCCCAGATACTTTGTGACCTTCATAGATGATTATTCAAGGAAGTTGTGGGTATATACCTTGAATTCAAAAGACCAAGTGTTAGCAGACTTGGAAGAAACTGAGATGCATTCGTACTGATAACGGCGGAGAGTATTCTGGTCCTTTTGATGAGTATTGTAGACAGCAGGGTATCCGGTATCAAAAGATAACTCCTAAAACTCCTCAATTGAATGGCGTAGCAAAAAGGATAAACAGGACACTAGTTGAGAGAGTGAGATGTTTGCTTTCACAAGCCCAGTTGCCAAAATCCTTTTGGGGGGAGGCATTGAGCACAGTTGTTTATGTGTTGAATCTTACACCCTGTGTTCCTCTACAGTTTGATGTGCCAGACCGAGTTTGGATAGGTAAGGATGTCTCCTATAATCATCTGCGTGTTTTTGGGTGCAAAGCATTTGTGCATATTCCAAAAGATGAAAGGTCCAAACTTGATGTCAAAACGCGACAGTGTATATTCCTTGGCTATGGCCAAATTGAGTTTGGGTACAAGCTTTATGATCCAGTTGAGAAGAAAATTGTGAGAAGCAGAGATGTCGTGTTTGGAAAAGATCAAATGATTTAGGATGTTAAGAAAACAGGGAAATCTATGTCTCAGTAAGGTGATATCTTGATTGATGTAGATCCAGCTCCTCTGAAGAATCTGCCATCTTAGGTTGAGAATGATGTTCAGGATGACCACCAGTGTACAGGTGATATAGATGTTCCCCTATAGGTTCAGGGAGATGTTGAGACTGATGAGCAGTTGACAGCGCCAGAGATTCCACCAGAGATTCCATCCAGGAAGTCTCATAGAGACCGACGTCCTTCTACTTGGTATTCAGCAGAGCAGTATGTGTTATTGACTGACGGGGGAGAGCCCCAGTGTTTTGCAGAAGCCATAGTAGATGAATACAAGATAGAGTGGGTTGAGGCCATGCATGATAACCACACCTTTGAGTTAGCAAAGCTACCTAAAGGAAAAAGTGTTTTGGAAAACAAGTGGATTTACAGGAAAAAGCCAAATGGGTTTTCTTCACAGCCACGGTACAAAGCTAGATTGGTTGTCAAAGGGTTCGGTCAGAGAAATGTATTGACTTTGATGAGATCTTCTCTCCAGTCATAAAGATGTCATCGATCCGTATAGCACTCGGCCTAGCAGCTAGTCTTGACTTGGAAGTTGAGCAGATGGATGTGAAAACTGCCTTCCTTTATGGTGATTTGGAGGAAGAGATTTATATGAAGCAACCAGAGGGTTTCAAAGTAAAAGGGAAAGAGGATTATGTGTGCAAGCTGAAGAAAAGCCTATATGGTTTGAAACAAGCACCGAGACAGTGGTATAAAAAGTTTGAGTCTGTTATGGGGGAGCAAGGCTACAAGAAGACAACTTCTGATCACTGTGTATTTGTTCAAAAATTCTCTGATGATGATTTTATTATTCTACTACTTTATGTGGATGACATGTTGATTGTTGGCAGGAATGCTTCAAGGATTGACCAGTTGAAAAAGCAATTGAGTAAGTCATTTGCTATGAAGAATTTAAGGCCAGCAAAGAAAATTCTTGGCATAAGAATCAGTCGTGATAGGAGTGTCAAGAAGTTATATTTGTCACAGGAGGAGTACATTGAAAAAATGCTTCAGAGGTTCAATATGGACAATACTAAAGTGGTTAGCTCTCCTCTTGTTACCCACTTCAGACTGAGTACAAAGCAATGTCCTTCTACAGATAAGGAAAAAGAAGACATGGAAAGAGTTCCTTACGCCTCAGCAGTAGGAAGTTTGATGTATGCAATGATTTACACAAGACTAGATATAACCCATGCAGTTGGTGTAGTTAGTCGATTCTTGTCAAATCCGGGAAGAGAACATTGGAATGCAGTGAAGTGGACCATGAGGTACCTTCGAGGCACTTCCAGTTTAAGACTTGGTTTGAGAAACGGACAAAAATTATTAGTTGGCTACACAGATGCAGATATGGCAGGGGATGTGGATACTCATAAGTCTATTTTGGGTTATTTGATCACTTTTGCAGGTGGGGCTGTAGGTTGGCAATCGAGACTTCAGAAGTGTATTGCTCTTTCTACCACAGAGGCAGAGTTTATTGCAGCAACGGAAGTGACTAAAGAGTTGCTATGGGCAAAGAAGTTCTTGAAAGAACTTGGTTTCAAGTAGCAGAGGTATGTGTTGTTTTATGATAGCCAAAGCGCTATTCATCTTGCTAAGAATTCTAGTTTCCATGCAAGATCTAAGCACATTGATGTACAATACCATTGGATCAGAGATGCATTGAACAATAAGTTACTTGAACTTGAGAAGGTTCACACTGATGATAATGGTTCTGATATGTTGACAAAGACCTTACCAAGAGAGAAGCTTGAAGTTTGTTGTTCGATCGCCGGGATGGCGATTGCCTCCACATAGTGGAAAGGGGGAGATTTGTTGGGTTTATTTCCTTCTATATGGAGGAAAGCCCAAGTGGGTTTTATTAAAGCCTAAAGCCTAGCTCTTTAGGGTGAATAACCCTAAGGAAGTCAGAATAAAAAGAGAGGAAGATCAGCCGTAGCTTT